TCATTTTGCAGTAGCCCCAATTTCCATATGTTCGTTAACTTCAGCCGATTTAAGGTCGAGTTCCCTTTTTGCGTTAAATTCCGCCAGTATAAGATCTCATTTCCATCAATAGGCATCAGCTGCCTGAGCAATAGGAGTTTATCTATTTAGCTCATTAAAACAACTATAAACGGTTTTAATTTAATATCTCTTGGTCACTTTCGACACAATTATACATTCATTTACACTCCTGAAGGATGAAGTAAACGTTTAACCACAAATTCCATTAGACGGTTGAGCGAGGGAATAGATGTGTAGGCGGCCCTTGAAGACAGTCTTGCCCTTTATTATTTATAATACTGACAACACAAGTCCTAACTAGGTACAGGGCTTTATCTAGCATCTATGCTGTCAACATGGTACGTAATTAAGTACTGGTGCACTACGGACTGCCTGTGTTGGCATATTGTGAATATTACGCGGTTCTGCTACAGTAGCAAAAGGATTTCAGTTCAATAATTCAGTGGGGGAGGAGTTTGTTGCGAAAGGATTTACTTCAGACTCGTGCACTCATTTCCTCCGAAATTAAACAAGGAAAAATCGGAGAAACAGTTTGTTCAGCTACTCCAAGCGTGAGTAGAGGGGATGAAAAAAAGGAGGAACTGGGGGAAGGGAGGTTGACGGCGGTCGGCAGAAAGCAACCGAGGAGCGGAGGAGGGGCGGCTCAGACTCACCAGAATTTTCAACCAGTGTGCCGTTGTGGAAAAAGTGGACAGTTGGTGGCGGTTGACTGTCCGGAGGCAGGTTACAACTGACATAGGCCACATTGCCCTGAATGAAGGTCATTTGCGTTTCCCGACTGGGCAGGGAGGTCCTTTTGAACTCATGGAGTCCTGCAGAGAGAGAAGGAGAGAAAATAAGGAGTAAAAAGGAAATCCAGTTGGTGCTGACATTCAAAACATGGTCAGAAAAGATGAAATTAATGATCTGGTCGAGACAAGGTAGCGCGTCGGTTTGCCTCAAATCGTCGGCACCCGTTTAAGGACTAGTAATAAAAGCTTTTTTCTGTAGAAGAAAAAATGAAATTTTGGGTGCTCATTCCTGGCAGGATGACCTGATACTTCCATGCGAGTGAT